TGTGTGTGTGTGTGTGTGTGTGTGTGTGTGTGTGTGTGTGTGTGTGTCTTTGTCTTTAATTCTCACTTTGGTTGAAAGGTGGTTGCCTTCTACATTGTCAAAGACTTCCTCCTGCCTCATGCCTGCCCACCATTAAGTATTTCAGCAGGACCACCAGGCACTTAGCCTCCCTTGCTATGCTCCCTTGGTGTTATCTTTCCCTCTCCTTCGCCTTCAACATTCAGACAGTTAAGAAGGCCTGAGAATTTCACTTCTAAGCTAACTCTGTTCTCATTGTTGCTCTCTTAGCAAAGGCTCTCCATTCCTGCTCGGGTGACTACGGCAGCCTCTTAACAGCCGCCTGCTTTTGATGCATCCACACCTGTCAGGCTGAGCTTCCACACATAGGGATCTTATCATTTCACCACTGTCCACAAATACTTAAGTGGATTGGAAAGAGAACTGGATAAAGGACTTGACCCTTTGTGTATTCCGTGGGACTCTCCCCTATTTATGGTCCACATAGATCTGGAAATCTGTGGATTTCTCTATCACTTACTTTTATGGCCTTTTTTTGTTTTTACATCACAAGTGTTTCCCACTCTATCCCGCCCACCCCACCACTCCTTCCTAGAGAGCTGTCCCTTATAATAAAGTACCCCCAAAAAATGTCTTGCAAAACTAATCGACGTTATGAAACAATCTGATTTTGCAGACAAAGAAACTGGAGAAGGTGTCTTCTCATATTACTTCAATGGGGCCAGGCTTGGCCATTACAAGTTGTATAAAATTTGTTTGTACCATTCATTTTTAGCACCTAATCAAGTGTCTTGCTCTGTGTGTGTGTGTGTGTGTGTGTGTGTGTGTGTGTGTGTTTGTGTTGTGTCCCCAAGTAGAATGGAAGATTCTGTAATGAAACATCAGGACTTGTATTTCTTTTCAATGTCTAGCATTTTGCAAGGCACTCAATAAATATGTACTCATTGAGAGTATGATTCATGTCATAATTATTGAAATTTCAGTCAGCTCTTTTGATGATTGATTTAAACCATTTTAATTTGCATCCGTCTCTCTTGTGCTTCTCATAGCTTATATGCCATTATTTTGCTGGTCTTCAATTGGGTGCTATTTGAGAAATGCCCCTTAGTAGGCAGAGCTTTGGTTCTGTGCAGAAAGTTCAGCCTGCAGTATTTCCTTGGGCTAAACTCATCTTATCCCTAATTCTTTTCTTTGCAGAGAGATCCACAGAAATTGGCAAGCTGCTGAGCTCTTACCTGGAGAAGAAGAGCAACATGGAGGATCACACAGTGCATCTCCTTTTTTCTGCAAACCGCTGGGAACAGGTGTAAGGCAAAGATGTCAGGAGCGCTCTGCCAGACTCGCCTTGGTCCTCTTAAATACCCTTCCCTCCCAGGCTTCATTTTTAGGGAATATCGGCTTTACATGAATCCTTAGGTCAGGTCAAAGAGAGATGGGGGAACTTGTCTGGCTAAAATCAAAGCCACAGCCTGACCTGTTCCATGTAACTTGATTTAGAGGTTGGGCTTCTATTGTTTGTAGCTTCCTAGAAAAGAGATGTAACCGGCCGTCGTTTCGTTTCCGCTGTGCAGCGAACAGCCTGTTTTTCCCTGAAAGGTCATTGTGGTCAGTGCATCTTTGGCTCAGCAGTGTCCCTTTTCCAGTGACGGTATTCAGCGTGTACCATGCTGGGCACCTCCCCTTAACCCCCGCTCCCCGGGCTTCCTCCTGGGAAGCTGGGGGTGCCCAGCTGCGTCCTCCTGCCCCTCTGGACCTGCTGCTCTCAGATTGATGTTTCACTGTCAGCTTCTCCCCTCGACTTACCTGCCAGATGAACAGTCCTGTTCAGAGCAAACAAAAGGACGTCCTTGTTCTTTCCTCTTCTTCCTCCTCCTCCAGGGTTCTAGAGCACTTTTCACCCACACCTTTTTATTTTGCGCTTTCCAAGCTTTCTAAGTCTCTTGGGGTGGTTTCTCTCCGCTTCTGTTCACAGAGAGCTTTCCTTTGGCAAAGTCTCAGCCCACTGTAGTGTGTTGGGCCTACCTAGTCTGTGCCTGGTTGGGCCTTAATCTATTGTGGCTTCAATTCCAAGACTGCATTCGCTGTGTACATTCAGGCCTTACAGTTTCAGTAAAGCTTGTGTGCTCTTCTGCGTATCAGTCCTGAATGTGGGCACTTCAGAGGGTCTGTGATTTCGGTGGGGTTGGTCTGCCCTGACCCAACACTCATCACAGCACCCACACACCCCGTCCCTCTCCTGGCCATTCTTGACCCTGTTGTCTCATGTTCTCCCCTTGGGATTGCCCTACCTCTCTGAAGGCCCTCCTCTGGGCATCAGACAAAATTTAAAGAATTTTGAGGGCATTTGGAATAGAGAATAATCCTTTTTTTCTTTCTTTGTTATCTAGACCACTGATTAAAGAAAAGTTGAGTCAAGGCATCACCCTGGTAGTAGACAGGTATGCCTTCTCTGGTGTAGCCTTTACAAGTGCCAAAGAGGTGAGTGATCAAAGCTTGTCTGCCTTCACCTTGTAACAGAACAACAGTGACCCTTAATTAAGCCTGAACACTTTGAGGAACTGAGGAACTCACAAAGCTTAGATGAGACACGGCCCCTGCCCCTGAGTAGTTTCTGCTGTAGTCAAGGGATAAGATGCCAGTCAATGTAGACCAGACGACATGATCAATACCCTAGAGAGAGAAGGAATAAGGGGCCGTGTGAGGCCTGAGGGTGAAGCTGGTCCCCAAGGTGGACAACCAGGAAAGGCTCCCCAGAGGACTTGGCTTTTGGATTCTAGTCTGACGGGTGGGGAGGGGTTTACCAGGCAGAAAGGGAAGGGGGAGGGCCTTCCAGACTCAGGGACAAGTGTGAGCCCAGGGGCTGAGGATGCTGGGCACATGTGGAGTGCAAGGAGGCCCCGGAGGCAGTGGTATGGAGTCTAGAAGTGGGAGTTTGGAGGGGTAGCTGCGAGAGTAGGCTGCTTCTGAGGGTGGTGGGCCTTGAGTACCAGGCCACGTGCTTAAATTGTCCTCCATGGGCAGCCCCTGAGGATGTCTGGGCAAGAGGAGAAACGTGGCCAAAATGTGGGAAGGCACCTTTGCTATCTGCCTCTTTGATTATAGGAAAGAGAGGCTAAGTGGCTTCCTCGGTATTGACATTTAAAAAAAAAACTGATGTCACAAAAATAATAAAACTTCAGCGGTTGATGATCTTTGGCATATTCCTTTCAATAGTTTATCATTTTGACTGTTAGAATATTTTCTGTATGAATCCTCAAGTTTAGACCAGGCCTCCTTTTACCAAGGGGTTAAGCCTTTGTCATGATGCTTAGTTTCTCTGTTTTCCTTGCCTTGACCGGTTGCCAGATCACCAGGTCCTGGATGGAGGGCGGTGTTCCTCACACAGGCCTGGAATGGCTGAATGCCATCACTGTTAAAAGAGTCAGGGGTCAAGGAGGTCTCTCTGTGTCTGTTTGGTGGAGGTCTTGCTCCGTCAGTCTTGTAGAAGAAGTGTGACCTCCTCCCAGTAACTGCCACTCCGTGGACCCCTTGGGAATCCCTGCTCCCCTTTCCCATTTTCCTTTGGATTAGAAGAACGGGGCCCCTCTGCCTCTGCTCTGATCTCTGGGCCTCTTTGTTGCTTGTTTCCCCTTCTTGTCAGAATTTTTCCATAGACTGGTGTAAGCAGCCAGACGTGGGGCTCCCCAAGCCAGACCTGATCCTCTTCCTTCAGCTGAACTCCCTGGAAGCGGCGAAACGGGGAGATTTTGGCACTGAGCGCTATGAAAACAGCGCCTTCCAAGAGAAAGCCTTGCAGTGTTTCTGCCAACTAATGAAAGATGATTCGTTAAACTGGAAGGTGAGAGGAAACCCCCGGGTGGGCCAGCTGGTCAAAGAGTGCACGGACCCCAGGGAGACCCGCTGACTTGAGCAGAAGGTCAGCCCCTGGGCCCAAGACAGATTTCATGGCAGGGTTGATGGGTCTCCTTCCCGAAAGGGAAGCTTGCCTCTCACTTTGGTCTCCCAAGGTCTCTCCCCTCTCCCTTTCTGTGTCATGAGCCCTCCACATCATGGCCTCTCTCCTCTTCCTCTGGTCTCTGCAAAAGGGCCCCTCCTGGCCCATCAGAGCGCCATGCCCGCATCCGTGTCTGCATGTATTCCTCGTGGTTAGTAAAACAGAACAAAAACCTTTCCCTCGCCCCTGCCCAGCCCATCATTGCTCCCTTTTACAGCTGAGCACTGGGCATTAACCTCCTCTGCTCGCCGGCCCGTGCCTCACCTCGCCTCACCTCGCCTCACCGTGCCTCACCTCGCCTCACCGTGCCTCACCTTGCCTCACCTTGCCTCACCTTCCCTCACCTTCCCTCACCTTCCCTCACCTTCCCTCACC